TTTATGTGCTTTTTAAAAAATTGCCCCCCCCCCCCCCCCGAGGAGCTCCGAAAGGAGCGTTCTGCTCTAGTGTTACAAAAATTTGTGTACCTAATGTGATATGGTATATGATATGTGGATTTGATTATGAGTTATATGTGAGTGGCCGAACCTTACCAAGTATCGTGCCACAAAAAAAAACATTGTTCTGATTTTTGTGCGAAGTTAGAGATGCCGGTATTACAAATATGATTAATTGCATTTTTAGCCTTCTGGTCTGATTTCATAAGGAAAGGTAGAATTATGCTATTTTCATGACTTTGTGTCCTTCCTAATACAGTCTTACTGAGCCCCTACGGGCCACTCCCCATCCCACTTTTTCCTACAAGGAGAACAAACAATTCTTGTGTCAGATGCTAATATTATCGTGATAACAGCACCGATAACTGAATCGCAAAGTGGACTTCTGTTCATGAAATGGGATGCCGTGTTCGTATGTCTGTGAGACAACATCCCAGAAGACATCTTTGTACTCGCCGCTGTAAGAACGTCAAATCTAAAAAAATTGACGTGTGTAGTAAAATATGGGTCGGGTATTCAAATTTTGGACAGCCTGCTGTGTATAAAGAGAAATGTATGGCTGACAAGTTTCGGAAGTTCTTATCTTTAATAGCCACTGGACTAAAAACAAACCGAAAGGGCGGCGGTAAAGCTGAATTTTTTCACCAAGTGTTGTTATTTGTCTTCTGATAAGTTGTTTTGTTTTATTTATCAACATCCAGGTTAGCTACACTAATATAAATGGAAGTTGAGTATGTAAACAGTTACCACAACATCCAGAATGGCTGTTAGATCCATATGGCTTCTTCTCCGAAGGGTACATTAATCAAAGTATGAAAGTGAGCACTTAGAGAATATATTGAGCTTAACTTGGCTCTTCAGAATGTTTGGTGTTTCAAAGGAACTTGCATTTCCAATTGTATTAATACATGTCATGGACTAGCTACGGGCTGGACGACCGGGGTTCGATCCCCGACGGGGGCAGAGCTCTAGCCTCTGCGTCCAGACCGACTCTGGGGCCCACCCAGCCTCCTATACAATGGGTACCGGGGTCCTTTCCCGGGCGTAAAGCCGGCCGGGGCGTGATGCTGACCACTCACCCCCATCTAGTGCCGAGGTCAAGGAAGAGAGGAGCTATACCTCCTCTCACCCCAAGCGCCTACATGGCGTATAGTGAGACAAACTTTACTTTACTTTACTTACATGGTATAAGGCTGTTATTTGTTTTTACTTAATTATAGTATTACACTTTTAAATGCAGAATTAAACCATAAACAACTCACGAAATGCACATACTTAGAGGGGGTGATGTTTCAAACTCAGAGATCAAGAATTAGAGAAACTAAAAGAATTTGTGTTCTATTTGATTTTATATTACTTGTACATAATTCTTAATGAATAATGGCGGTTAGGGCAGACGAAGTGAAACGGATAACATCGTACGAAGGGAATTTGGAGTGGACCTAGTTTTAGTTGGTATGGACATTTATGTTTGACTTCTTACCTCGCACACCATTGGGCAATGTTAAAACTAAATCGTAGTAATGAGTCGTTCTTGAAGAATTAGAGCAGTGTGAGTCCTTCGATTTACTGATTTATAAAACAAAATGAACGATGTTATTTAGCTCAAGAAATACTACGTAAAAGTTTGCAGTGTAATTTATACTTTGTTGTCATTGTATCGATTTTAAATCCACCTTTCGGTGGCGTTGGTGCTTGACTGGGAGATCCCACACAGCGAGTACACACGTTGGAACTCTCATGGGGAAGATACCACCTGAAGGACTGAGATGGGATGATGATATTTCAGATAAGCGAGTTGTGAACCTGACTGAACCACACAACATACGAGGCTCGTCCCCCAAGTAAGTTTCCCTGGGGCCGTTTACCGAAACAAAACACAATTTCATGGAAATATTTATTGCGACAGATACAGCAAGTGTCCAGCTATTTTTCAACATATTCGCCACCGGAATTGAGACATTTGTCATACCGTGGGACCAACTTTTAATACCTGTGTCGTAGAAGTCTGCCGCCTGGGATTGGAACCACTGTGTGACAGCCATCTCCGCCTCTCTGTCATTCTCAAAACGCTGACGCTGACCGGACAGGAATTTCTTGAGGTGTAGGAAAAGATGGAAATCACTGGGAGCGAGGTCCGGGCTGTAGGGTGGATGATTAAACACCTCCCAGCTGAACTCCTGCAGGAGACTCGCTGTCCGTTGAGCCGTGTGCGGCCTAGCGTTATCACTGGCCGCACTTCACAGTCGGCGGGAGCTGGAATAAGAATCTCCATCTTCAACAGCTGCAACGATGCTACTGTGAGAATGCGGGAAGTGCCGTTAGTGCATGCGCCATGCTACGTCATTGCTCTATCACGTACGCACAGTCGCTTCGCGCAATATAAGGTTTGCTAGCTGTGGGACGAGTGGGAAACTTACTTTGTGGACGCGCCTCGTACCAGTCCTTTAAGTTGCAGTATTCCTGTTAGATTAGACTTCAGAATTTGTGACTGGAATCTGTATACTGTGGATGTACTGAAACTACTTTTCTTGACGCTATAGCAGACGGAGCGTACATTACTCAGCGGAAGGATTCCTGGTATATCTTTTTGTCTCTACATCCGGTTTTCGGGCGGGTGACCTTGTACAGATACACGCATAGCGTGCCAAAATACCGCAGTCGTAGAGCCATCTGGATGCTCTCAGTGTGCAACCCTGACTGTGATATCAAGGTTCAGCGCCATTTGCTGCGTCATAAGGTTGGTGAGTACATCTTTGCATAGAATTTGCATGTGATATTTTAGACCGTTTCAGATTTAAGATTCGATCAATATTGTTGAGTAATAATTATTTTTAAATGTCGTTCCATAAAGAAATCGCGACCCGGCATGTTAACGTCGGCTATGGCAACACGAACTTCTGTAGCTTGGGAGAACTAAAATCCACAACACAGAATTATAACAGTTAAAAATTCCAACAACACTGTAATTGACTGCATTGAGTAGACTTTCATTCCTTTTGCCAATAAATTAATGAATCCAACTTCCGAAACATAGTTTCGTAATTGTATTCTTTTACAATTTAGTCTAGATTTTAGACGATGAACAAAGTCCAAAAGAACAATTAAACATACCGCACCCTCCTCAAAGGCCTTCGAACTTCGACTGCAATGACAAGTGTCCTGACCTGAGTTGTAGAACATGAAATCGTTTTATTAATAAGTTTACCATGCGTTTTAATCCATGGGTGCTGAACCTTTCATGACTTGGGGCCGCATTCACTTCTTATTATCGGCTCGCGGACCACCGGGTTATTAATATTTTGAAACGCTGTTACGAATCCTACCAACTACTGCAAACGGGTTCACATAGTATCAACTCAATAAATTTCTGTAAGAAACTTGTTTATTTGTCATTTTTGGCATTTCCTTAACATTAAATAATTTAGACGGTAAATATTTTTCATAAAAGAGAGTGAAATGAAAGTGTAAGCGAACCGCACAAGAGAAATAGGGAGGACGAATGCGACCTGTGAGCTCCCTCCCCTTCTCTCTTTTATATATATTTTTTGCAATGGGACACTGGATCTGTTATGAGACGTGTGTTAGAACATAATGTATTGTTATTTTAAGAATTAAAATAAATGTGCAATTTGTTACGTTTCGGATACGGGCAAGATGATGCCGTTGGATAAAGCGCCTGGACGGGTGATTTTACTTCATTTTTAAAACAGCGGGCATTGGATATTCCCTTACAAATCCTCATTCTATTGTAATGTTGATACTTCCTGTTCTAAAGCGTCTGAATTTGTCCGCATAGCTTGTAGAAGTTTCCCAACAGTGGGACTGTGTGAACTATATCATTTTACTGTAGCAAAAAGTATCTTCAAACACATTCATCGTTCAAGGAGAACCG